AACTATCCAGTGCATGACAAGGAACTCCCTTGCCATGAAGTATGCACTCGCGAAGTTCAGAGTCTATCTATTAGGAGATAGACCCTTCGTTGTTTACACTGACCATGCGTCCTTACGCACGGCAGTGAACAGCCCGCACCTTTCACAACGAATGGCGCGGTGGTTGTCATTCTTTGCAGAATACAACTTTACGGTCGAGTACAAACCAGGACGACTTAATGTCGTCGCTGATGCACTCTCACGTCGTCCCGACTTTGAAACAGTCGCGAAACCCAACAGTGAGACAGTCACTGTTGCGGTTATGACGTCCTCAGTTCCATCTACAACGTTGTATGATGATGTGAGGCGGGCATACGCCCAAGATGGTGAGATAGTGAAGTTGTTGTCACATCTCTCCCAACCATCTCGAGAATCGTTGAAACGATTGTCGTCTGCGTATCGATCTGCATCAGATCGATACACTACTCGTAACGGTTTACTGTACTATACAGCCGTTTCTGGTGACACACCACGTGTTGTCATTCCAGATGATACTGATCTGCGTTTGCGGATCATGTTCGAGTATCACGATGCTCCTATAGGAGGACATCGTGGCCGAGAGAAAACATATCTCACGGTAAGTCGAGACTTTTACTGGCCCCGCCAGTATCAGTTTGTGCGAAAGTATGTTCGCGCATGCGAAGTCTGCCAACGAGTGAAGTCAAGTCCTTCACTGCGTGCACCTTTACAGCCTCTACCGGTTCCGGCTGAGTGCTGGGAATCCATCTCAATGGATTTCGTCTTCGGGTTACCCAAAGACGCACGCGGGAATACGGGTATTCTCGTATTTGTTGACAGATTCAGCAAAATGGTACACCTTGTGGCTGTACCAGAGACAATCACGGCAAGTGGCTGTGCTTGTGTCTTTATTGACACCATCTTCCGACTTCATGGGTTGCCCTGTGAACTCGTATCAGACAGAGATCCACGATTCACTGCTGATTTCTGGCGTTCCGTGTTCAAATCACTCGGAACGCGCTTGAAGATGTCAACATCTGATCATCCAGAGTCAGATGGTCAGACGGAACGTGCCAACCGTGTCCTCGAAGAGATACTTCGAGGATACGTACACTCCTTTAAAAGTTGGAGTGAGTTTTTGCCAATGGTAGAGTTTGCCATCAACAACTCGGTGCATGCGTCCACGACACATACACCGTTTTACGTGAATGGCTTGCGCCATCCGCGTGTACCCACCTTACTAGAGTGTAACTCTGGTTTAAGGGGGGGAGGGACTCGCGCGAGCAAAAACCGATTTGGTTCACGCTCATCACGCTCTGACGAAGAAGTCATTGCGTTTGATGCCGATATCGATAACATCGATATCGAAGAAGATGATGCCAGTGAGAGTGCGGAAGCCCTCACTGAAGACAATGATCCCAGTGAGAGTGCGGAAGCCCTCACTGAAGAAAAGGTTGTTGTTGCTGCAGTGCGCTCACAGCACACTGAAGCTAACGAGTCATCAGATGAGTTCATACTGGCTCGTGAAACGGTAGTCCGTTTTGTGCAAGACTCCATCGCCGAAGCGGTGGATAAGCAAAAGCAAAACGCTGACAAGAATGGAAGGGCAAACACTCTTTTATTTAATAAAGGTGACTTAGTCCTACTGTCTACGGTTAATCTACCAAAACATGTAGTGACTAACTTGGGTAGCAGTAAACTGCTACCCAAGTACATTGGCCCATTTCGTGTATTGCACCGCCTAGGCAATGCATACACGATCGAGTTACCACGTAAGATGCGAACGCATCCCACGTTTTACGTTGGTCGGCTTAAGCCGTATCATCAGTACGCTGCTTCTTCCGATGAAGAACGCCCTTGCGCTCAAGCATCTCGCAGAGAGCCTTGTGCTCCCGATGGTGGGCATCAACAAGGGTCTGAAGAGCAGTTATCTCAGCCCGAGACCGATCAACAATCCCACGAGCTACCCTTAGCTCGTCACGAAGAGATGTCAGAGATCTCTCGTTCTCAAGCTGAGCAAAGGCAAACTCAGCTCGATGCTTCGAGGCAGTGTCCACCATCTGGAGACGCCTATTCCGCTCATGCTCGAGATCGTCGCGTAACCCTTGCGTTACGCGATCAAAGAAGCTCTCGGGAACACACCGATCCACATGATCGTGTGGAGAGCGTCTTTCCTCCTCCTCCACCTCCATTAGAGGACTCTCGCGGTGGCCAGCGCTATCTAGTAGAGCAGCTGTTGAACCACCGCGACGTGAACGGACGTCGGACGAGTTACCTCGTCCGGTGGCGCGGCTATCCCCCGTCCTGGGATTCTTGGGAGCCCCGCTCCCAATTGATGGTTGACGTACTGGGTCTGGTCGAGCAGTACGACGCGACACATCCTGTGCCGCAGAAGGACCGCCGGAGAAAGTCTTCCCGGCACGGTCGTAAAGGGATTTCAGGTTGTCAATCCCTTCGTACATCTCAGTAGAGACACGTACGCGCCACCACGGGCTGGTAAGGAGGTAAGCCTCCTTAGGTGCTCGTGCAGAGTTGTTCACACAACATGGGCACGAGTCTCCCCAGGAATGACAGGGTAATCCTTTCTCCTTAGACAGACGATGCAGATTGTAGCGTGCACCTGTCGGGGTTCGCTTTTCAAACTTATCACGAGCTTTGATAAGTTTGTCGTTCCAAGCGTCACGACCTACATCCTCGAGATTATGGATGTAGGCGTTCCACGCCTGAAGTAGTGAGGGACCATCACGTTTGTGATTCCCACTGTACCATCGATGTCTGAAGAAAGCATCGATGAAGAACTCATGTTCAGCGCGATAGTCTTTCGTGCTGGGGTCAAGGTGATGAATCCTTGACGAATCGAACAATCGTGTTCGATAACGATCACTCGTCGTCGCCGACAAGTGATCCATGACGGATTTAGGAGGCATCCATGCCTTCTTTTCTGGAGCGAGACGCAACACATTGCGGTCCCGCTCTTCCTGCGACGTGCCGACAGAAGTACTGGCACCTCGCTGTGAAGTGGTGTCCATTGGAGAAACGACACCACTATTAGCGCCCGAGTCTCGCGACCTCGAGCGCCTTCGCTTGGCGATGGTTCATCTGACTCATCAGATGAACCAAAGATGCTGCGACGCAAAGCATCGTCCATGCCACGCTTGGCAGGCGGCTTAGATTCAATCGCCGTCGATACGGACCCGTCATCCGTATCAGGAGAGTACGAGACACCGAGCTCGTACTCTGTGAAGACACGAGTGTCTTCATGACCAGCGCCTGCATCACCAGGTGATACAGGCTGAGTCGATTCAGCAACCGATGGGACATCAGTTGCTGTAGTTTCTGCTTCGGCGTCCGCACAGAGACGTGCAGACGCGCTCTCGGCGGCCTTGCTCGCGCATCGCATGGGCTTGTTTACCATGCGATGAGATGTTGGAAAGTGGACGCGGACCAACAAGTGCAAACCCCGTCCCAAATGATTTGGGACGAGTATCCATTTAGTCAATCAGTCACTAAAGTGACTGATGGTTAAGGGGGGTGATGTAACGGGGTGAATCGTTACATAACAATTTATAAGAAATTGTTAATAGAATATAACTATAAGAGTTATATTCTCAGAATATTGTCATAAGGACAATATTCTGTAGCACTTCCAAGTAGTCCCTAATTGGTTGATATAGGCCATTATATCAACCAACGAAGACGCGCCACGACAGACGCACGCAATGAGTGGTGAGCAGATAACTGATTTACACATTTGTATTTAGACATAGTTAGATGAAGATAAATAGTGATTTATTGCAGACATTAACTATTATAAATACAGTTCTACTTTTTACTCTAACCGAGTACTCGCTTCTTCTTACCGTCTTCCTCTGCACGTACGAGTGTACGTGAAGTTACGAGGCACCGCCTTATTCTGTTATCAGAATAAGTAGCTTGTACTGTCACCAGTACAAGCTTCAGGGTGCCCCGTTACAGTTGTAGTCAAGCCCGCAATGTCTGGTGTGGAATGGATTAATGATATGCGGTACGTCACAAGTGGTTAGCGAAAAGAGCCTCAGTTTTGCGTATTCAGCTTTTGATAATTTGGCTACTTTTGCATCGTACGAACTGCTTTATCGTGCTTGCCTATCCTACAAAAATTGACTCAGTCTCAGGTCAAGCTGCAGGGCCTCCTAGCTACATAAGACTCAGACTGCAGGATGGCGGTAATGAGTCGCTTATAATTACTGCACCTCACCTCTCTAACCATCCGATCCTGTGGAGTTTCACGGTAAAAAGACAACGAAAAAGGAGATGACATGTTATGCTTCACTGGCAAACTCACTTGAATCGGGACAACACCTTCTCACCGACCGTCACTACTGCATTGGCACTTGTAAGTTTACTTTTAGTGAGGATTCTTCCGTAGGTGCCGCTACCGAAGCGTCACAGTTATTTGCACCGCTGCTACTACCCTGCACAACACTACGCAAGAATGCCGAATAGGCTGTGCACGAATTTTGACTACCCGTATCAAATAAGTCAGAGCTTGGGTATGCGGTGAGTTCATTCATGCCAAGTTGACATCGTCAGTCTACGCTGAATCCATGCAATGAGACATTCAGTTTCCACGCAACAGACAATGCCCTCCTGCGTATAGCAAACTATCTGTGGTCAGCTCAGATTGCGATTGCCTTCAACTTTGCTGTAGAGCAACTGCACCAGCTTATTTTGGCAAGCTATCGAAAGAACAATAGACGACAGCAACTGAGAACTGTGACCACTGTTTGGCATGGCCGACTGCGAAAAGAATTTGGGAACCTAGCATTATAATTGCCCCAGAGTCAGCTTGCTAATGGGTCTTGTATCTCGTGGCGGTTGCTCGAAAATGAGAGCGCAGACTTCAAGCTCTTAAAGCCATGACAATACATGGGACAGTTACAGTGATATCTTGGACATCACATACAGGTCAAAATTGGTGTACAATTACTGCGTATCTTGCTGTCGGAAACTCACCATCTATGTTACTCACAAGTCTGGTGAGTGAGCGGCAAGTGCGAAACAAGGTTAGAAAACTTGCCGACAAATTCATCACTCGACCTGACGTCGATCCGCGTAATGCTGCAGTGGCTAATAGGGGCGCCCAGCTGAACAATCTCCTTAGGAACATTGTAACATTGAGCCATACAATACTGGATAAAACTCGCATGTGCGATGGCAATCTTGAAGTTCTCTGGCTCGCCGCTTGGATTACGCACGAAGCTATCGCCTCCGTCCCACCGACAAATGCTCTGAAATGCCATCTTGTGCATCGACTCACGGAATTCGTAGCGCTGGTAAATATCGACAGATTTGGGCGCTCCGTCCTCCAAAAAGCAGCACTCGTTCTTGTTGGCGATCCACGGCATGACATCGTCAAACACGGCTGCCGTCTCAACAGTCCGCCGCAACCCTCCATACACCAGATGAACGCAAGGGGTGTTACTTCCTCTTGCCTGAAGCATCCTATTTAGATATTTTGCAGTGATCTTTGCCTGTTGCTTCCCTCGCTTTGTCAGCCTTTTGTCTTTGTCGCAAACGCGAAAATTGATGTTCTCAGTCTCTCCGTGGCGAATAAAAATGAGGTGAGTCACCCCGCGAGGAGCTTGCAGCTTCTTTTTTCGCGGATGGAGTACGGGCTGCATAATTTTAGGGAAAAGAACGTTATCCACTTGATACGTTCCCTCTTTGATCTGGAATGGCGACGCCGTCGACTGACTCATGGACTTGTGGAGCAATTGATGTTCCATTGGTACTTGGGTAGCTACTTGGATCGACCACCACCACAGAAACAAATCCTGTTTCGTCTGGAACCGAAGAACGCTCGTGTCTCGTCTTCCTTGATAAAAAAACTCCATCTGCATGACCGGGTGTTCTTTCAGGTCGAGGAAGGCCAATTTGCAATTCGCGAGTGGAAGCAGCGACCTTTTGCGAAGAGCTGTGTCGGTGAATTTGCGAAGCATTAGAATACCAGGATACAGCTCGGCCCAATGGGTGGTCCAACTCGTGTGACCCAATGTCACGCGACGAGTCTCAAGGAATCCACAGAGCACGAAATTCTCGCGACGAGCTGCTTTTTGCACTGCGTAGTCACCAAGCAGCACAGGATATTCAGAGCGATCTTCACTAAAGTATAACTCCACTTCATCTATTGTATAGCGTCGGGCGGTGGATCCCTTTTGAGGAACAGGACGGACAAAGGACGGTGTCGGGTAGTGCGACGGCAGCTGAGGTCTGTATGTCTCTAGTTCCTGTGTCGTGGCAAAGTGCACGGACTTGGACCTCTTCGAAGACTGCATCTGCTTCTGCTGGTGGTGGCTGTCGCTGCCAGCAGAAGCAGATGCAAGCGTTGATGAGACAGAAATGGGCATCGAGGGACTTTCAGACTGACGCGGGACTTGTCGTGTGCGATTTGTGACTTGGATGCTGAGACACTCGTGTGGCTGGACTAAACTTTGCTGATCCGACCATGCATGGTTTGCGACACTTTTCTACTTCAATGAAAGAGAAAAGACAGACAGCTTTAGAGTCGAGGAGAAGCAAGTGCCGAAGCGGGGTTTTCCGACGGTCTGTTTGTTTGTGATTTAAATCTCGTGAGTCCAGTGGACTTGGTGCTGATCCAATTTGCTGTAGCTTCTATGCGTGTGTATCGGCTCCCAAGTTCAATGTCGTTTCAATGGTCGTGTACAGTCAATCGTTGTGCACGTGCGTCGTGCTTTCGATAGTGCTTTCGTGCTGGGGTCACACTACGAGAAACTCCTTCCTTGCGAACTACCAGCGCTCGTTACGTGCTCCCGAGTTGTTGTTGTGTTGACGACGGGTTCCGCGATAGTTGATGCTGGAGATAGCTTCGTGATAGCCCTAGGTGTGTGATTGACGCTAGTCAAGGATCTACAGCAGGCACGGAGAAGGTTTGCAACATGGAGCTCAAGCGTTTCACGAATGATACCTACGTCGGTCATTACTAATGGCTGCTCTTGCTACTTGGGATTGCATGTACATCGAAGAAGCTCGTAGCCCCTAGCAGGTTTGAACGGGAACGGTTTGGGTTGATGTGCGTTTTGTGCAAATGCTCTCTGCGCCCTGCTTGTAAGCTAGCTCACTCTACGTGTCAAACTCGATGTGCTCATCGTCCAAGAGTGCTATAACATTGATCAGTAACGTGGTTTGTGCAGTCCACTTGAACATGTGGAAGCATTTGCATGGGGCTCTCCATTATATGACCATCCAATCCTCGTCCAGCGTCAATGCCGTGTTACGTCCAGCACCTTAGTGTATGTGGTCATGCATTGATCGTCATCCATTAAGACGAATGGTAAAGCTACGTCACCATCGTAGTAGCAGTACTAGGTGTGAAGCACTTCCGTAACTGTGAGGAGTGTTCTTTTTCGACATAGTTGTCGATAGCGATCGACTGAAGAGCGTACAGATATCATTACAACAGAAGTATCTTCCTTGCTCACGAAATTGTGATGCGTGGCAAAGATGTGTCTTGTCAGAGATTTTTGAATGCTACCTGTATTGCAGACGCAAATACAAGCTGTAGCGATCACATTATATCGAGGCAGCTGTGTCTTTATCCTTCAGACGTAACGCACTGAGGCATACAAACGATTCGGATCAAGAAAGGGATAAGCTGGATTGTATGTCAAAGCAGTGAAGCAACGTTGCTATCATAGGTGTGCAAAGGTGAGCGGTCTTGCTGAGTTCTCAAACGTAAATGAAGCAACTGTTATGATTGCTGATAAGATGTTGTGCTAGTGATCAAGCTCTCATCTACCTCGTTAGACTATACTCAGGCGGCAAGTTGTACACGACCGCATCGTCTACCACCAAAGCGAAAAGACAAGGACAGGTCATCCGACTGCATGTCGGCAAAGTGTGCATTCTCGTGTCATTTGTCGTCTATTGCGATTCGTGCGCTACATCAGGCGAAAAAGCATCAAGTCTTCCCGTGTACTGAGTGACAAATTCCGCACATGTGCAGATGATGGTGCAAGCAATTCGACCTTTATCGATTTGAGTGTACGTAAGACCGGCTGTTGAAGAGGTGCCGATCACTCGTTGCGTTTTTAAAGAGTGTACAGTGGTCTCATTCGTCTCCTGCTTCGCCATTTCACCCATGCTCCTCCTAAGTGCACACGAGATTGCCCAGAATCATACCGACGTGTGTGTTCTTACCCCTCCCCCTTGGTTCAAGGTCCATGCTGGGAGGAAGACGTCATTTGTCACGAAGAACAATACCTATTCGTCGGATTGCTGTTTCTGTTGCTATATTTTCTAGAGAAGTTTGCTGAAGTAGGTTCCTGTCTGTAAGCGTTGCAATGAGGGAGTCTTTACCGTACACCACACGGTGCAATGCCTTTCTTCCTCAATGCGAGTATCCTTACCCTCTTTGTCAAATTGGAATGGTCGAATAAACCACTCTATCGTACATTTGTTATGCTTCGGTAAGCAATATTTACAAGTGACCACCCTTGCTGTCTTCACACCAATTTAGTATTGTTCTAAACCTGCCCCACACAATAACCCTTTCAGCAACGATCGCAGCTTCGATCTCAGCTGATGCCTCGTTTCATTTGTTGCGTGCTGCGTGGAAGCGTCATCATCTGCATGCTTTCAGGCTGCCTAGATTTTGCTAACACGAGCTCGAATCAAAATGTAGTAGCTCCTGCCGTAATATGCTTTCGACGTCGGCCTGATTGTAACATTGGCTCACTGTTGGAATAAGTGTACGAGACTGGTGTGGATCAGCAGCTATTTCTCGAGAATTTGAGCCAGAGTCAAACGTAGATTCGTAGCCGCTCGTATTTAGGATCGCGATGTCAAGAAAACGCTCGTCGTCGTTGCGTCAAACCTAACAAATTACAATACACGCAACAGGCACTGCAAATTACAAAATATCAATGAATTCCTGGGGTTTAGGACACAGACTGCTCAGACTCGAGAGACTCGCTGTATTTCTAAGTGGGGGTACACTTTGGTTACTCAGTGCCACAATGATTAGTGACACCAAATTTATGCGATCGGTTGGCCCTCATTTTCTGCAGGTATTTAGTACAAATTATATCGCCTGCACATTTGCACAGGAACGCCAAGTCAAAGAAGTCAGTTGATTGCCCATTCCCTGAAACTATGGACGAGAGCAAAGACCATGAAGCTGAGAAGGCTGTCTCCACCAAGTCGACGGTAGATGTTTTGGCCGTGGAAATATCGCCAAACCCGGCAGCCCTTAGTGACAAGCTGATGCTGAAGGTGGACTTTCACTTGGAAACACCCGTCGCTAATGGCGTCTGGGACATCGAGGTGGGTATGAACGAATGACTTGCCGTGCTAGCTGAATTAACTATTGTGTTATTGTGCCATGTTAAAAGTATGTGGTGGACTGCGTCATGAAACACCCGATAATTCATATCCTTTCCAACTCGTGACTGTCCCAGTTTTGCGTACAAAGTTACTGGCATAAGTCTCCTTAACCCTGACCTGATCCTCGTTTTGTATGTACACAACTGGGCCAAGTCGAACCAACAGACTACGCGCAAGGCCGCAACCTTTTTCAGTTTTCGGTTCGTAATGATTTTTAGTTTGTAATGAATGCAATTTTCGTGATGTTCTAATGACTGATACTCTACTTGCAGGTCCCGCATATTGACGTGTCTGGAATACAGTCGAGTCAATTGGCCAATTGCGGTCTGCTGATAGCGTCGTTGAAAAGAGATAACAGAGACGTCGCGGATCTAAAAATGGTCGCTCAAGTATCAGAGCAACGTGGAGTACTTCAACGCATTATCTACAGCCCCCTCGAATAGAAAACGTCGTCGCGTGTTTGTATTTCCCACACTTACTGAACGACAAACAGAGAGTTGGATGGTTCAGTCTACCCGGCGATTTCGCACTGCGTTATTTTGTATCGTACACGCTAATGCAATAGAAATATGAATGCAGATACGACCAGAAGTTTGAGTGTCCGTAGCCTGCATAGTGTAAATGAAGAGCATGCGCTGCTGTACTGAGGTTCTGGCTACTGATTGTGTGCATAGCTTACCATATCATAAACCAGTGTACAAAAGTACCCTTTGGAGCCTTCATCAAATACCCATCAGTATGCCGACATTAGGCTAATTCTTCTTCGTAAATTTGTCGCCTACTTCGAACATAGGCCACTCAAGCACCGCTGCAAGCTCCAAGTGCCGACAATTAGACCCAGAAACGATGTAATGCGTAGCGATGATTGTAAATTAAAATTTGACAGCAACGTTTTTCTAGTACCCGAGTGCCAGTGAATACACGTCTATTTTATCAAGACTGATGTCGTCTGAAACATATTCTACTCGCGGCCGTCGTCATTGTCGTAAGTGCCTGATATTTATGGCCAGAAAGATGTTGAGTCGCTGCCTCAATAAACTACGACAAGCTTAAGTGGTCGCTATTTTATCCGCACGTGAGAGTGAATCTGAAGCATTTGATTGAGAAAAGCAATTGTACCACTTCTTGTGATAGTGGTATTTTTTGATGCGGATGATGGAAAGTGTAGCTGTTGCAGTCTATGGATGTAGTATGCAGTGCGCCCTCCAACAAGCTTCGGTTGCCTGATTTCCCAGTGTAGCACACTTTGTTAAGTCAACAGCATTAGTGGGGTGTATTTTAGCTTAGACGAACGCTCATTTGGGAGATATGGAGAACATGTCGGGAACAGTACGTATAATGGGGCAGTAGGTTTGCAGAGGTCCGAGTACTTGGAAATAAACTCATGTACAGATTTGCTTTAACGATAAAACAATAACCGCTAGCCGATACAGCGCTACAACTACCTTTGCGAGCTCGAATCCCATTGCAATCGGTTGTAGTGATATAACTTGCGCTATCAGGCATAAATTGATCTAACTGAGCCACTTTGCAAAATCTCAAAATGATAGTAGATGATAGTGGTCGCGAAAAAATCACGCCAGAGTTATGTTGTAATGGGCTCCTTCGTGCAAAGCGATCAAGAATCTTCCTTTTGCTTACCCTGATTTTCATGTCTGGAATGTCCGAGCGGTCACAAAAGCCGCGTCCGGGAAGAAACAGAATGTCGAGGAGTGGCCATGTGTTGGGAACAAATGCATGTACAAGGACAAAGGGAGCTTTGCTTTCTGGTAGGTAAGCCAGTAAACTACATTCACTGGTCGGTGAAGCACATTTACTGATGGTCTCGTTGTTCAGCACTCTGTCGGGTAAGCTTGCTCAACTTCATATTGCACTAAGTCTGTCTTTTCGATACTGCAGTCCCGATGTAAATTTGGCGCATAGGCTTTGTGCTTTCACTTGGCGCTGAAAACATCGTACAAGGATTATGAACAGATGACAAGTGCGCGCCCGTTAACTACTACCCTCAATCGCGCCGAACGCACAACTATAGACCATATATTCCTGCGATAATGTAGAAAACGACTTCTTCGGCCGTCAAAAAGGCGAGAGAGAACACGGTTCGGGCAGCTTGCGAGCTCGACCGGCCTGAATAGCAAACTCTAAACTCTGAGGGCCATACGGACACAAAAGAGAGTTTGCCCGCAGATGACGACAGCTAAACCTGCGGGATTTTAGTCCAACAGGTCATAAAAGAGAGCGAGAAATAGTAGGCTGTATTTAATTGGCCAAAAGCTGTCGACGTTTCTCCACCAACGAATTGAAAATGCGTCTCACTCACTCTACCACCTGACGAGCCAATTCATTTCGCGGAAAACTCCCTCAGCATAACAATGCCGGTAATGCTGCCACCCTTTGGTGTAACCCCTCGTCTCTACTCGGCATAATGAACACCTAGTGACGCTGATTGATTTTTTTTGTACTGCTTCTGATGTTCAGATCCGTCAATTCCAAGTTGTTGGCCGTAAGGCTCCCACCGAAAAAGAACCAAACCCGCCAGCTTACCGCATGAAGCTGTTTGCGCCGAACCCGGTGCTGGCTCAGTCCCGTTTCTGGTACTTCTTGCACCAGATGAAGAAGATGAAGAAGACAACGGGCGAGATCTTGGACATTAACGAGGTGCGTCGCGTTTTTCGCATCTCAAGTGGACACCTTTCGGTAGTGGTATCTACACGACTATGGAAAGGAAATGATGTATCATCGACCCTCCTTGTCAGTTCCTCCTAGCGATATGCTAGAAGTGCTTGCTTGCCACGAGGGTGGAGAGACGTTTGGTCCTGGTGTTTGTCCCACCCATCATGACCCCTCTCCACCCCAGCTTGCAAACCGCTTCATCGCTTAGTGAGATCGCGGTGTGATCCGTTGTTTAGCTTTTGGATGTAGTGGGACCACCCATCTGTAAGCGACCCAAACCTAAGCAACGATCTGCTGTTGATGATAGCAGAAGTGCCACTGACATAGAAGATGTCTAGCTAGTCATATCGCTAACTCTGCTCTTGTTGTTTTGTTCGTACTGCCACAGCTCACGGAGAAGAACAGCCGCGTGATCAACAACTACGGCATCTGGATCCGTTACAACTCGCGCAGTGGCACCCACAACATGTACAAGGAGTACCGTGACGTGACCATGTGCAAGGCTGTCGAACAAATGTACTCGGAACTAGCTGGCCGTCACCGTGCGCGCCCTCGCTCGATCCAGATCATGCGTACGGCAATTGTGGCTGCCAAGGACTCGAAGAAGCTGAACGTGCAGCAGTTCCACGACTCGAAGATTGCGTTCCCGCTGTCCCACCGTCTGCCACGTGCGGCCGAGAAGCACCAGAAGACGGTGTTCAAGGCTTCGCGTCCTTGCACGTTCCGCGGTTAAGTAGCAGACGCTCAATTGTAGTGTCGATGCTTTGCTGCTGTCGAGTGGTCGAGTGATCTGCTAGACAGACTCGGGATGCTAACGTTTCAATCGAACGATGGGAGTTTTCTACCTTTGAATTCCTCAAATGGACTCACTCACCTTGTTGGCACGACAATCCAGACAAATTCGTGTAAAGCTCATTTCTTGTCCTCTAAGTTGTCGCTGCTCTATTTCTTACCATAGCCCACTCGTAATACGACCAGACATTATTTGAGCTCTTTTATAAATATTATCTCAAGTGGTCGAGCGAACCTGCACACTTCAGTCAACAAGCATCAGTCGATCCCAACAACGGGCATGGGCTTGCAGGAGAAAATCAACGCCAATCCGACAGTCTACGCCGTGGCTGCACCCACCCGCAAGCATTTTGACGTCGAAGAAGCTCTTGACGAAGATGCCGTCGACCCTTTCGAGGCTGACGAGGTCTTTGGTGCGTAGAAGAATGTCAGCGGTCGAGGGAGTGCCATTATTTCCAATAATTGTCTCGAACTGATCGAAATATTGTAGAATTGCTTCGACATGTCAACGACCCGGAGCACCCGCTGACACTGGAGCAGCTCAAAGTCATGACGCTCGAGAACATTCATGTGGACGACGCCAATTCGCGCATCAAAGTGTACTTTACACCCACAATTCCTCACTGCAGGTGGGTCCAGAAAAGCTCTTTTATCCTGCATTTTTGCTAGTAAAATGCGCTAACAAAAAGGTGCTGCTCGCAGTATGGCGACGCTCATTGGACTGTGCCTTCGCGTCAAGCTTCTGCGGTCGATGCCGCCGCGTTTCAAGGTGGACATCCTCATCACACCGGGCACACACTCGTCTGAAGCAGCAGTAAACAAGCAGCTCAATGATAAGGAGCGTGTCGCCGCAGCACTGGAGAACTTGCACTTGCTCACGGTAGTAGACAAGTGCATCGCTGATACTGACAAGTAAGAAAGATGAGCTCTGGACGGCATTGGCCGGTTCGTTGGAGAGCTCTGTGGAGATCGATTGGGAGGGCCAGAAGTGGAATGGATCTGATACTGCTTACTGGAAAGGATCGGGCAGGTGTAGGCGCTGACAATCGTGTGCTATTTTCGCTGCTATACCATTCACTTCGGCCGCGTAGGTATTTGGTAAGAGACAATATCTTGAAACAATGTGTGAATGCTGCTTGGTATTGTTTTACTGGTGCAATGGTGTTCTACATCTTGTTGATGCAAAGACGGTGCTAGCCAAGCTGTAAATAGTTCGGCAGGGTTAATCCGCGTGCGCAGCAACTTTGTTAGTATGCAGTCCAAGCTTGCCGCATTTCTTGTGCTCCGAAAACGCGCGTATCTCATTCGTGAAGTTGTCCTTTACCGTTCACAATCAGCGAAGCTCTGAGTGCTCCATGTTCGATACTTGTGCTTAAGCACTGGCTACACTTTGACATGCCTCCGTCCGACTGCCTAGCAACTTGTGTTCCTGCGATGACACCAACAACTGATATGAACGGCCCAACGAATGCACTGCAGAGATAACTTCACACACCATGGGAATAGCATTTGGCTATATTTGAGAGCAGGTCAGCTTTATCTTTTTTTTTTAATACATTCGAGACGGGACCTGTGAGTCTTTGGCCGCAACTTGACGGATATTCTTCATTCATCGACAGCTGCTACTGTTGTGATTGCTGTTGTTGTTAGTGGCTCGGGACCCTAATAGTATAAAGTGCCTTTGCTGCGTCATAATAGGTGCTCTACCCACTGGCGTGAAGCCACTCAGCTATCTGAAGCAGAACTTGAATGGCTACAGCAACGTCTTCTGAGACTCTTGTGACTACGTTCACATTTCTCGAGACGTCAAGTCACCAGCACTAACAGCTACACTAATGATCATTCATTACGCGCAAGATCGTTGGCACGCTGTTGGGATAAGCCCACGGTCCGAACTCGATACTACATAGCTTCATGTACGCTGATATAGATCTCTCCGTGGCGTCCTCTTCTAAAGCTATGAACGAACCAGGTTCACTTTCTACAAGCCTTATCACGAACTGTACTGCATGTTACGACAACTACGAGGGGGCTCGATGCCGGTATCGTTGATTTGTGCCTCTACTTGGATCGGTGTGCATCTGTCCTGTGAATCGTGTCATGCTGATGCTTACCACTAAACATCCATATCCATGATTCCACTCATGCAACTCGTGCCCGTAATAATGCCATACGCGCTTGCTAAAAGTTGTTGACAACGCTGAGGTTAGACGCTACATCCGTACTGCTGATTTAATGGTGCAGAATATTCGAGCACATTGTACACGATTGTAGGCGAGTAAATATACGCGTCTAGTGTTCCGTGTGTAGCTGTAGGTAGTCCCCAGTCGATGAGTGGCCTCTGGACGCGGTCAAGCTTGCATTAGACTTTCGCATGGCGTCAATATTTATGCTTGTACTTGCCCTTTCAGCGCATACATGTAAGCTGCGACTTTGTTGTCAACAACTGATGGCGAGGTTGTTACATTATGTTACGCACGAGATCTACTTGGTGCTACAGCAACCCGTAGTAAGGCATGCATACGAAGACGTTTATTGCGAATACGACAACGCATGCTAATCAATTTGCACTTCGAAGATAGCGTAGATATAGACTATCTTGTCGATTCTGTAACATAGAAATATCCGCATCGCTAGCATCGGCTCTAACGTCGCCGTGCGAAAAGAATAAATAGCTGTCGTCAGAATTCATGTAGACAGGTGCCAAGTGGCATGCTGCTACGTCGACTCGATGTGCACCAGTCTTCGGTCTTTATTTTCGCCACAACAAAAGGCATCCGTAAAGCTGCCCCCTTGCTTATAAACAAGTTACTTCCCCGGTCAATCGCCCGGCAATGCGCGTGTATTGTTTTCTTTGATCCAATTATTATGGACGAAAAAGTCTTAAAGCAGCGATCCCGGACGAGTCGTGAAACGCGGTAGCCACATCATAGACAGCAAAGCCATTTGTGGAAAAGTACCGCTTACAAGTTGACAGCTAAGTCCGTGCCTTCACGCTTCATCTACAGAAATTGTAGAGTTCCTCTTTTTAGCGCACGACAGTTATATTTTCAGCAAATTCGCAGTTTGTTCGGCCTTGTTTCGAGATCAAACGGGTGTTGGTGCGTTCAGAAAGTCGATGGAGTCAAGACCCAGGGCGTCTCTTGCAACTATGCCAAAACGTTTCTTTAGTGGCCCTCATCCTTGGTCATGTAGACTGGCTCTGTTGTTCGGGACTACGGTGTAATGAATCTCCTTTTTGTATCCTTTGTGGGAAGGTGGCCGCGTTCCCTATTCTACAAAGTACCGGCGTCATATCCGTTCTGAGTCATTGTTCGCGCGAAGCGGCGAATAGTTGACTTTCGTGACGAAGACGTACTAAGGTGCATGGATACTAAGCTTCCGAGGAAACTTGGTCATTGATTCTAGAGCTCGCCAGTTGATCGGGCCTTGGTTCTACTCAATAGAAGCAGACTCCACTGGAGCAAAATCTGAGCCAATGTTGACTAGCGAGTAGGTGCATGCTTGCCACAAGGGGACATTGGTTTTATCCTCAGAGTAACCGCGTGCTTGAGATCGAAAGAATGCCTTGATTTGTGTACTTGTATGTGTTCCACGTGAGACCTGTCTTGGATACTTCCGATGTTATAGTCACGAAAGCTTTTGGTCTTGATCATGACACTCGCACAGCATGTGCTAGTTTCGATGACCCATTTGTGGGCTGTAGCACCACTTTCATCGGTAGACACAGCGTCCGAGTCAACAAACCGGAGAAACACTTGCCGTTGATCCGTAATAGCACGCTCCACAACAGTGACAAGGGCTCCGCAGACAAGGCGTCCCACCGGCAATGCAGTTAGTGCTGGATGCGCACGGACAGGAGCTCCAGTAGCTTGCACACACCGGTACGTCTCGCGTCGGGGTGCAGCTGGTGACGACGTCCACGGACCCTCGACTCCGTTCAGCACCGACTCATTATCTAATGAACGTTCGACAACCCATGCGGCGCCATCGAAATATCTGCCATGGAGCCTCAAGAAGACAATACCATCGGAAGTGATATCAGCTTCAACCACTTCAACGACGTCCCCGTAGAGCAAGTACCCGAGCTCTGAAATGGCTAGATTGGCACGCCCGCGCACTTTGCATCCTTCCACCACACACCGGAAGAATCTGCTTCTCTTGCTCGCCCGTCCATTTGGCAAAGAGCCGTCGTCACTGACGAAGGGTCCTTGGTGATATTCTAGCAGCACTTCGTTCCGAAGGGAGCGACTGGGCACCCACGCCTCCTTAATCTGTCGTCTACCTCCGTCTTCCTCATTCCCTGCGACCTTTGTCTCACCTTGCAAGACAATGCAAGAAAGATCAAGTCCATCAAGTCTCACCATCGGGTCACCCTGCTCGTTGCAAATAGGTGCTGTAGCACGGAATACGCGGCCAAATGGAATCGAGCCGAGCAATGGCGACGCAACATTGTGCTTCACTCGAACTGACACGCCTCCACTCTTGCCGCGATGACACACACGATAGTAATGATCAAAGCTCCACCTGGCTACAATGGTGGACACAAGCAATTCATCATTAGGCTCGCATTACAAAATTAATATCAACAACGATGACAGCAAGAACGATAACCAACAAGGCCGTAGTTGCAGTAACTCACTTGCAGCGTCCGCTGGCGACGCCGCTGCCGTACGTTCGAGCTCCTGCACGCACTTGATGCACTTGGGATCCAGCAGTTGCGCCTGTCGCTTGGAAAAGCTCGACTTGGGCAAGTGCTGGAAGCATTGGACACAGGGTTTCAATCGCTTCGGCTGCGACTTTTGGGCTTGTGCTTGAGTGACCTCCACGCACGTTTTACACTTGCTACCAATGGAGGAACAAGAAGGTTGAAATGCATCAGTCCGTATTGATGTATGTATCGTCTGCTCTTGCGGATTCCGTTTAATGTCGACCATAGAAACGTACGAGTTTAGTTTCAGGTGCTGATGACGCGAGAAGCTCGTGGCAGGAAGTGATCGACCACATGTCGCACATATCATGCACTCGTCCACCCGCGGCATCAGTCCAAACCTACCACAAAACTCAAAGTTGACACACACAAAAAGAGAGAAGCTAAATATATACATAGACCCAAAAATACCGCACAAGGGTCCAAATACCGGTAGACCGAGTCACACGTAGCTCCTCACCTCGTTCGTCACTCTGGAATTGACCACCGAGGTGAGACCCTGAGTCACTCACTTTGGGTGTACCCACCCGTGCCGCCCACTCCTCTCCACCCAAACAATGACGATCATCGACAAGATCAATGCCAACATCGACCGCCAAGAGGTTTTCTACTCGTTCGAGTTCTTCCCCCCGAAAACTCCTGCCGGGGTCGACAATTTGTACGCCCGCATGGACCGCATGGCGGCACTCGAGCCGCTTTTCTGCGACATGACGTGGGGCGCTGGCGGGTCCAGTGCCCAGCTCACGCTTGAGCTCAGCGCGAACGCTCAGCAGCTCAGCGGCCTCGAGATGCTCATGCACATGACGTGCACCAACATGGCCGAGCAGGACATCAAGCAGGCGCTGGACCAGGCCAGAGACGCCGGGATCCGGAATATATTGGCGCTCCGGGGCGATCCTGTGCGAGGCGCCAGTAGCTTCAACGAGTGCGACCGCGGGTTCTCGCACGGTGTCGACCTCGTGCGGTACATCCGTCAACACTATGGAAATCAGTTCTGTATTGCAGTGGCTGGATATCCTGAAGGTCATGCTGAGAGCAGCCATGAAGACCTGGCAGTTGGTGTGCAGTACCTGAAGGAGAAAGTCGACGCCGGCGCGGATTTCGTGATTTCGCAGCTGTTTTACGATGTTTCGGTGTTTTTAGACTTTGTTCAAGCCTGTCGGGCAGCAGGGATTACAGTCCCGATAATACCTGGCATCATGCCGATTCAGAATTATGGAGGGTTTGAGCGCATGACGTCGTTTTGCAAGACGTTTGTACCGGATGATGTCCGTGAAGCTTTGGAGCCTATTAAAGACAATGACGAAGCTGTCAAGGACTATGGCGTGCAACTGGGTATTACCATGAGTCAGCAGCTGATTGACGCGGGTGTGCCGGGTCTGCACTTTTACACGCTGAATCTTGAACGCTCGGTGCGTCGGATTTTGGAAGGCCTGTCGTCGCTGTCCCGCCATGTTCCGCGACGGGAACTGCCTTGGGAGACGTCGATGCTGTCCAAACGTGCGTCTGAGAGCGTACGTCCGATTTACTGGTCCAATCGACCGAAGAGCTACGTGCATCGCACGGCTATGTGGGACGAATACCCGAATGGTCGCTGGGGCAACAGTGAAAGTCCTGCGTTTGGGGAGCTCACCGAGTCGCATTTTGCACCGTCGAACACGTGGACGCCCGTTGAGCGTCGCTCGATGTGGGGCGATGCACCTGCAAGCAAGGAAGACATTCGCAATGTATTCGTGCGATACGTGCGTGGCGAAATCTCGAGTCTACCGTGGTGTGATGCTGCATTGCACGATGAGACATCGACTGTCCAGCAGGAGCTTGCAAGTGCGAATGCTGCTGGATTCTTGACGATCAACAGTCAACCGCGCGTGAATGGTGCGGTGTCCGATGATCCGATGTTCGGCTGGGGTGGTCCTGGAGGCCGCGTCTATCAGAAGGCGTACGTCGAGTGCTTTGTATCACCCGAGAACATGAAGACCATTATCACTAACGCTGCCAAGAAGCCTTCAGTGCAGTACCACGCTGTGAATTTGATTGGCCACTCGTACTTGAATGCCAGCAAGTCCGCAGTAGCTGTAACATGGGGAGTGTTTCCCAACAAAGAGATTCAGCAGCCCACGATCGTCGACAGCAGCAGCTTCTTGGTATGGAAAGACGAAGCGTTTGCGTTGTGGCTCAAGTCGTGGGCATCCCTGTACGAGCCAAGCAGCCCGTCCTTCAAACTGCTGCACGAGATTCACGACACGTACTTCCTCGTGAGTATCGTGGACAATGACTTTATGAATGGCCACATTTGGGACTTGTTCGAGGCTTCCGTCTCCCCTGTCACGTCACCGTAACAAAAGCATGTGAGGAAGAGAATGAAGCAAAGAAGAGTGTGGGAAGTGAAGACAAGATGAACGTGAGCGAGAATGGAGGCCGTGCTTGTGGGTATGCCAGTGTATACACTGTCCGATTCCGTCCTCTCAGTCGCACTAGCTGGTTGATGATTACAAGACTGGTTGGTGTCACTAAGACGATGGAATGCACGCAGCTCCAGTCCCGACTTGCACATCCATCTCTATCTATGTATACAGTCTCAACGGCAGCCCAATGGAAAATAGACGGAAAACCAACAGCTCACTTGAACAAAAGATCACTATTTTTGATCATCGAAAGCTCCAGCTGTTTTTTGTGTGTGTGCTTATTTAGGACGTGCTCAAAAGTAGACCTTAAGTCGTTGAAAATCGAGTAATGATGATGGACACGACAACCCCGAGCGTCTGTGAGCGCGAACTTCGCGGTCACAATGGGCCAGTGAACGCCGTACGCTTCAACTGCAAGTCGCTCCCCTCTCGACCGTTCTGTGAAGTAACTCACATACTGGAAGCTAATACTGCGTGTTTGCATGTGTTGCAGCCACAGGAACGTACGTCATGACCTGTGGTCAGGACAAGACCATCAAGCTCTGGAATCCCCATCGAGACGGCGTGGAGAAGCCCAAAGAGGCGCTACTGATCAAGACGTACAAGGGCAGACATGGCTATGATGTACAGGACGTGGCTATGTACGAGACGGAGCGGTCCTCCGTTCATTATCTTCGGATCTGGAGCACTGGAGCATGTGGTTGAAGCCTGAAGTAACACTAACGACTGATGATGATGATGATGATGATGATGATGATGATGCATTCCTGACGGCTGTAGAGCTCAGGATAACTCCAAGTTTGCGTCCTGTGGGCGGGACAAAGACGTGTTTATGTGGGACGTGCCGACCGCCCAAGTAATCCGCAAGTTTGAGGGACACGAGCATGTACCGAGAGAGATTGACGCTGTGGCTGGATGGAAAAAGAGTGGGATGGAGTGGAAGAAGGAGCTGACTTGGAGACCTGTTGTTTGTGGTGCTTTAGAGTGTGAACTGTGTGCGTTACAATGCAGATTCGTCCGTGCTGCTGAGTGGGTCGTACGATAAGACTATCCGGGCTTGGGATATAAGGTCACTCAGGACGTTTGATTTGAGAGTAACATGCTGCGTTCATTCAGCAGGGCTGCTCACGTTTGCCCAAGTGTGGTGCACTTTGCTGTAGAGCTCGAAACTCCTACATGCCGATTCAGATTCTCGACGACTTTCGGGATAGCGTCACCTCGATGGTAGTTGCGGATCACGAGATCATTGCAGGGTAAAGGAGCTTTCGACGTGGTCACATTCCGGCGGGAACTGACGATCGCGTCTCTCGAGTGCAGGTGTGTTGATGGTGTCGTGCGGACGTACGATTTGCGTGCGGGGCAACTCTTCTGCGAGCATATCGGTGGTACGCATTCATTTGAGTACAACATCACGACGTAATCATCTGATGAGGGTGTCGACCTGTTTCTTGTCATCTTCGCTACAAAAGTGCCGGTCGTGTCAGTCGCGCATTCCCCTGATCAGCGCTTCCTCCTTGCTGGATGCTTGGATGGCTCTATCCGGCTGATCGAGAAAGCTAATGGGACAGAAGTGCAACGGTGAGTGGGTGATGTAGACGTTGCTGATGTATATTGAAAGCTCTTCTCACCCTCGTAATGCGCTCGTCGCACTTCTCAGCTATCGCGGACACAGCGTTTTAGATTACAAGATCGAATGCGGCTTGTCAAGTGACGGCGCCCTCGTGCTCACTGGTTCCGAGGACGGAAAAGTGTACTGGTGGGACATCGTCAACGCCAAACAAACGCATTCCTTTACAGCACACAAGAAAGCAGTGCGCGCGCTCGTGAGCCATCCAGAAAGCACCATGTTCGCCACGGGCTGTATCGATGGCTCGGCGAAAGTCTGGTCGAACGTTCACCAAAATGAGGCACAACAAGTAGAATAATGCACGAACTGCCTGCCTGGCGTCTCAAGCCCGTCCAAACGCTGGTCTACGACAGCGTGTAGCGCATGCCACCAATCGTCATGAGCAGATCATTGGCGCTCACCTTCTCGTCTTTGTTCGTGGAGAATAACGACGCAAACACTTGACTCTTCTCTTTGGCTTTGCAAACGGATTCACTCGCCACTTTGGCCATCTTGACAGCCTTCGAGTCTCGCAGCTGCTCCCTTTTTCTCTTGCTCTTCTGGTCAATTTTACGGTTCAAAGCCGCCTCATCTTTCTTCTTGTTGTCAACTTCAGCCACCTGCTTGACCTTCTTCTTGCTCTTCTTCGTTCGTTTCGTCTCTGCCTTTAGCGCCAACAGCTTCAATTGCTTGTCGTTGTACCCATTTTCATCCAGCAGCGTCACAACGTCGAGCTCTGTAAATGGAGTGCTACACACCAAACACTCCAATGTCGCAACGGCTTTAAGAGCACGCTCCGACAGCACACACCCACACTTTAAGAGCACCACAAAAGCCTGCTTGCCAGTAAACTCGACCATTGTAATCGGGCAGCCCCAGCCCCGCACATCCTCGTCTGCCTTAACACGCGTCAAACGGCAAGTCACAACGTCCTGGAGCGACGAAATGTGCGCCAAGTGCTCGGGCATCGACTTGGCCAGCAGATGCTCGATAACTGTTTGTTTGTTCAATAAGTTGCCCAAACGACATGCCACGACCGGCTCCTGCAGCGGCTGCGACGACAGCGCACACGTACGCGCCTTCTCGAGACGCAGCGCATCCACGTCCGCCTTCTCTCCACGCGTCTTGACGTTAGCGTGGCGCATAAACTTGCGCTTCACAGCGATCACACCGCCGTCGTTCCCCATGTTCTTCGTTTGCTCTTTTGCTCTCTAACTCGACCGTAAAAAAACGCGTTTGACAACCGCAAACAAAATGCTTTTCTCGGCCGTACTGGACTCCAAACGCAGCCCTGTCTTCTTATCCTGCTGCATCGATTCGTTACAGTTTACACACCATAAAAAACAAGCTAAGATCACTATCGTGACGTTATTGACGTTATCAAGCTTCAAGCAAGCGCTTAATTAGCTGCATTTCTTCGTGTCCTGCTTCATCTCCACACTACTTCAGCTACGTGCATCGACTAGTAACTCCAGAAGCCTCCAAGTAAGTAGGTTTCTTGTTGCCAACCTACTTCTTTGGCTGCGGACGGCATCGCCAGGCCTTGAGACGCGTCGCGTTGATGCGAATGAAGCCTTGCGCATCCGCGGGGTTGTAGTCAAAGTTGTCGCCACCTCCTTCTTGGTCCATCGAGGCAAGATCCGCACTGTAAAGCGCTTCGTCCGAGTAGCGGCCAATGACCGTCACGTTGCCCTTGTAGAGCTCGAGGTTCACGTACCCCGTCACGTTCTGCTGGGAGTAATCCACTGCGTGGCGCACAAAGTCCATCTCGGGCGCAAACCAGAACCCATTGTAGCAAAACTCGGCAAACTTGGCCGAGAGGCCGTCGCGCACCTTCATGACCTCTCGGTCCATGCACAACCCTTCGAGGTCCAGGTGGGCGTGACGAAGGATCGTCCCTCCAGGGGTCTCGTAGCACCCCCTCGACTTGATACCGACGAACCGGTTCTCGACAATATCAATGCGGCCAACCCCGTGCTTTCCCGCAAGTTTGTTCAGCTCCAAGAAGAGCTCCAGAGCGCCCTTGAGCTCGGGCGTCTTGGCCGTCAAGTTGGTCACGCCAACTGGGATGCCCTTTTCAAAGCGGATACTGATCTGCTCGGGCACATCCGGTGCATCCTTCGGGTCCACCGTCATCTTGAACATCTCGACCATTGGAGCGGTCATGGGGTCTTCAAGCATCCCGGCCTCGTAGCTCGTGTGGTAGAGGTTTTCATCCACACTGTAAGGAGCTTTCGGGGTCGCATCGATCGGGATCTCCTGCTCTTTGGCGTACTGAATCAAGTCAGCTCGTCCCTTGAACGTCTCAATGAACTCGGCATCACGCCATGGCGCGATCGTCTTGAGTTGAGCGTCCAGAGCTTGGGCACAGAGCTCGAACCGCACTTGGTCGTTGCCTTTGCCCGTGGCTCCGTGAGCCACGTACTTGGCGTGCTCGGCCTTGGCGATCTCCACTTGTTTCTTGGCAATGACTGGCCGTGCCAAGGACGTCCCAAGCAGGTACCGGGACTCGTAGATGGCGTTGGCCTTGACCGCTTCAAAGATGTAGTGCTGGACAAAGTCTTCGCGCAGGTCTTCAATGTACACCTTCTTGGCCCCGAGCGAGAGGGCTTTGGCACGGACCTTTTCATAGTCTTCGCCTTGTTGGCCCACGTTGGCGCAGTAGCAAATGACCTCAAAGCCCTTGTTCGTGAGCCACTTGAGGATGATGGACGTGTCGAGACCGCCACTGTAGGCGAGCACGACTTTGTCTCCAGGTTGGGCGTGGACGCTCATAGCAAACTGGCTTACAATGGGATGAAGAGGGAGTGGACGTGAGGGGCACGGAGCGAATTGGAGAATGAAGGAATGATCGGGAGATCGATTGATCGATTGACTCTCGCGGTTTGTTTGGTGGTTAGTAGTTGGCTCGGGAGCCTCTAATCATTGTGTTGATCTCAGATCTGGCTGGCTGGCTGTGTCTGATTTTATCAAGATCCAGAGGGGAAGTAGGTGACGATTTGGAGGTAGCTTATGATCCACGACTGAAGGAGGTGCTTGTAAGCGAGAGAGGATCCAAGTAACCTGCTGCGAACGTTTTCAAGGCAAAGACTCGATTTTCGATTCGATTGTTCGTCTCTTGCCGCTGTATACGAGGACGCCTTCACACCGCCGCGTTCACCTCGTTCACTGAGCTCACACATAGATAGTAGACGCACTCGCTCCATTGCAGACCTTCACGACTAATGTCGACTGCACGTTCTTCCCTTTTATTCCTGGGGCACGCCGTGGAAGTACACGATAGCTCGAATACACTGAGGAATCATATATCAAGCATAGCAAGCCACACACAAATGAGTGACGAACAACGTTGATCCATCAGCAGCCGTATCTATCAAACAGCACATGGTACTTACATCGCCTTGGTGCATGGCATGAAATGCGTCATTGATCTGCGAGAGGTCAAACTTGTGAGTGATAAACTCGTCGACCTTGATCTCTTTCTTCAAGTACTTGTCCACTAGTTCAGGGACCCCATCAAGGCTCTTAAAGCCACCAAAAGCGCTACCGGCCCAACGGCGACCTGTCACGAGCTGGAACGGACGCGCGGCAAGCTCCACGCCAGAGGCAGCAACACCAATAATACACGACTGGCCCCAGCCTTTGTGGCAGCACTCTAGCGCCGCACGCATCGTTTCCGGTCTCCCAATACACTCGAACGTGTAGTCGAGTCCGCCAAACCCTTCCTCTTCCGTCAGCTCCACCAGCACTTCCTGAATCGGTCGATCAGGGAACTCCCTCGGGTTCACAAACTCGGTCGCGCCAAAGTCTTTTGCAATGGGAAATTTCCTCGGATTAATATCGACAGCGACGATCTTGCGAGCGCCAACCGCCTGGGCCCCCATAATGACCGCAAGACCCACTGCACCAAGACCAAAGACAGCGACTGTCGAGTCCTTTTCCACTTTCATAGTGTTTACGACCGCACCATAACCAGTCGTAATGCCACAGCCCAAGAGACACACTTTGTCCAGTGGCGCTGACGGGTCAATCTTGGCCACGGAAATCTCCGGTAGCACCGTGTACTCCGAGAACGTGGACGTGCCCATGAAATGGTACAGCGTCTCCCCGTTCCGCTTGCACGTAAAGCGTGACGTGCCATTCGGCATGACGCCCTGACCCTGAGTATTCCGGATCACCGAGCACAGGTTCGTCTTGCTGGATCGGCAGAACTTGCAGCTGCGACACTGCGGCGTGTAGCACGGCACCACGTGGTCCCCAACCTGGACACGGGTGACGTCTGGACCGACGCTCTCGACGATCCCGGCGCCTTCATGGCCCATAATGACCGGGAAAATACCTTCGGGGTCACTCCCTGAGCGCGTGTATTCGTCGGTGTGGCACACGCCTGTGGCCACGATTTTGATACGCACTTCACCGGCGCACGGCGGACCTACGATCACATCTTCGAGCACGAGATCCTCTTTGGCGGACCAGCACACGGCAGCTTTGCACTCGATTGGCTGCGGGGTGCGCATGTTCATGGGTGAGGCGGTGCACTCGAATTGAATGGCTGGGATATCTCCTGGAAAACTGTACGGACGTTTCCGGTAAAGCGCGACAACTGCGGTGTTTGGACTTGATCCTACAGTTTAGTGATAGTGCGCCGTAAGGCTTTTCGAGCTTCTCCTGGAACGAGGACGTCTGGGAACGTATTTTACAGCACGAGATACAGGAACAAGCTCTGGAGCTCTGGAGCTCTTTGCTCGTAATCTAGTACAGAGAACTGAATCAAGCTCTATGAATACTCGTAGTCCAGTGTGGAGAACTGATTTAAGTTCTATGAGTTTGTGGAACCGTGTCGGGTGGTTGGCGGCTGAGGACTCACTGGTTGGACATTTGGTGTGAAATGCATACAGGTGGGAATTGGTTGTTCGTTATGTGGTTGAAGCTACTCGTTGGTGTGCAAAAGAGGAGAATACGAATGATAAATTAGAGGCCGCGACAGGAGGGTGACCATAACTGTAACGGGGCACCCTGAAGCTTGTACTGGTGACAGTACAAGCTACTTATTCTGATGACAGAATAAGGCGGTGCCTCGTAACTTCACGTACACTCGTACGTGCAGAGGAAGACGGTAAGAAGAAGCGAGTACTTGGTTAAAGTAAAAAGTAGGACTGTATTTATAATAGTTAATGTCTGCAATAAATCACTATTTATCTTCATCTAACTATGTCTAAATACAAATGTACATATCAGTTATCTGCTCACCACTCATTGCGTGCGTCTGTCGTGGCGCGTCTTCGTTGGTTGATGTAATGGCCTATATCAACCAATTAGGAACAACTCGTAAGTGCTACAGAATATTTGTCCTTATGACAATATTCTGAGAATATAACTCTTATAGTTATATTCTATTAACAATTTCTTATAAATTGTTATGTAACGATTCACCCCGTTACATCACCCCCCCCTTAACCATCAGTCACTTTAGTGACTGATTGACTAAATGGATACTCGTCCCAAATCATTTGGGACAGGGTTTGCACTTGTTGGTCCGCGTCCACTTTCCAACATCTCATCGCATGGTAAACAAGCCCATGCGATGCGCGAACAAGGCCGCCGAGAGCGCGTCCGCACAGAGACGTGCGGACGCCGAAGCAGAAACCACAGCAACTGATGTCTCATCGGTTGCTGAAGCGACCCAGCCTATGTCACTTGGTGATGCAGGCGCTGGTCATGAAGACACTCGTGTCTTCACAGAGTACGAGCTCGGTGTCTCGTACTCTCCTGATACGGATGACGGGTCCGTATCGACGGCGATTGAATCTAAGCCGCCTGCCAAGCGTGGCATGGACGATGCTTTGCGTCGCAGCATCTTTGGTTCATCTGATGAATCAGATGAACCATCGCCGAAGCGAAGGCGCTCGAGGTCGCGAGACTCGGGCGCTAATAGTGGTGTCGGTTCTCCAATGGACACCACTTCACAGCGAGGTGCCAGTACTTCTGTCGGCACGTCGCAGGAAGAGCGGGACCGCAAAGTGTTACGTCTCGCTCCAGAAAAGAAGGCATGGATGCCTCCTAAATCCGTCATGGATCACTTGTCGGCGACGACGAGTGATCGTTATCGAACACGATTGTTCGATTCGTCAAGGATCCATCACCTTGACCCCAGCGCGAAAGACTATCGCGCTGAACATGAGTTCTTCATCGATGCTTTCTTCAGACATCGATGGTACAGTGGGAATCACAAACGTGATGGTCCCTCACTACTTCAGGCGTGGAACGCCTACATCCATAATCTCGAGGATGTAGGTCGTGACGCTTGGAACGACAAACTTATCAAAGCTCGTGATAAGTTTGAAAAGCGAACCCCGACAGGTGCACGCTATAAGCTGCATCGTCTGTCAAGGGAGAAAGGATTACCCTGCCTCTCTTGGGGAGACTCGTGCCCATGTTGTGTGAACAACTCTGCACGAGCACCTAAGGAGGCTTACCTCCTTACCAGCCCGTGGTGGCGCGTACGTGTCTCTACTGAGATGTACGAAGGGATTGACAACCTGAAATCCCTTTACGACCGTGCCGGGAAGACTTTCTCCGGCGGTCCTTCTGCGGCACAGGATGTGCCGCGTCGTACTGCTCGACCAGACCCAGTACGTCAACCATCAATTGGGAGCGGGGCTCCCAAGAATCCCAGGACGGGGGATAGCCGCGCCACCGGACGAGGTAACTCGTCCGACGTCCGTTCACGTCGCGGTGGTTCAACAGCTGCTCAACTAGATAGCGCTGGCCACCGCGAGAGTCCTCTAATGGAGGTGGAGGAGGAGGAAAGACGCTCTCCACACGATCATGTGGATCGGTGTGTTCCCGAGAGCTTCTTTGATCGCGTAACGCAAGGGTTACGCGACGATCTCGAGCATGAGCGGAATAGGCGTCTCCAGATGGTGGACACTGCCTCGAAGCATCGAGCTGAGTTTGCCTTTGCTCAGCTTGAGAACGAGAGATCTCTGACATCTCTTCGTGACGAGCTAAGGGTAGCTCGTGGGATTGTTGATCGGTCTCGGGCTGAGATAACTGCTCTTCAGACCCTTGTTGATGCCCACCCTCGGGAGCACAAGGCTCTCTGCGAGATGCTTGAGCGCAAGGGCGTTCTTCATCGGAAGAAGCAGCGTACTGATGGTACGGCTTAAGCCGACCAACGTAAAACGTGGGATGCGTTCGCATCTTACGTGGTAACTCGATCGTGTATGCATTGCCTAGGCGGTGCAATACACGAAATGGGCCAATGTACTTGGGTAGTAGTTTACTGCTACCCAAGTTAGTCACTACATGTTTTGGTAGATTAACCGTAGACAGTAGGACTAAGTCACCTTTATTAAATAAAAGAGTGTTTGCCCTTCCATTCTTGTCAGCGTTTTGCTTTTGCTTATCCACCGCTTCGGCGATGGAGTCTTGCACAAAACGGACTACCGTTTCACGAGCCAGTATGAACTCATCTGATGACTCGTTAGCTTCAGTGTGCTGTGAGCGCACTGCAGCAACAACAACCTTTTCTTCAGTGAGGGCTTCCGCACTCTCACTGGGATCATTGTCTTCAGTGAGGGCTTCCGCACTCTCACTGGCATCATCTTCTTCGATATCGATGTTATCGATATCGGCATCAAACGCAATGACTTCTTCGTCAGAGCGTGATGAGCGTGAACCAAATCGGTTTTTGCTCGCGCGAGTCCCTCCCCCCCTTAAACCAGAGTTACACTCTAGTAAGGTGGGTACACGCGGATGGCGCAAGCCATTCACGTAAAACGGTGTATGTGTCGTGGACGCATGCACCGAGTTGTTGATGGCAAACTCTACCATCGGCAAAAACTCACTCCAACTTTTAAAGGAGTGTACGTATCCTCGAAGTATCTCTTCGAGGACACGGTTGGCACGTTCCGTCTGACCATCTGACTCTGGATGATCAGATGTTGACATCTTCAAGCGCGTTCCGAGTGATTTGAACACGGAACGCCAGAAATCAGCAGTGAATCGTGGATCTCTGTCTGATACGAGTTCACGGGGCAACCCATGAAGTCGGAAGATGGTGTCAATAAAGACACAAGCACAGCCACTTGCCGTGATTGTCTCTGGTACAGCCACAAGGTGTACCATTTTGCTGAGTCTGTCAACAAATACGAGAATACCCGTATTCCCGCGTGCGTCTTTGGGTAACCCGAAGACGAAATCCATTGAGATGGATTCCCAGCACTCAGCCGGAACCGGTAGAGGCTGTAAAGGTGCACGCAGTGAAGGACTTGACTTCACTCGTTGGCAGACTTCGCATGCGCGAACATACTTTCGCACAAACTGATACTGGCGGGGCCAGTAAAAGTCTCGACTTACCGTGAGATATGTTTTCTCTCGGCCACGATGTCCTCCTATAGGAGCATCGTGATACTCGAACATGATCCGCAAACGCAGATCAGTATCATCTGGAATGACAACACGTGGTGTGTCACCAGAAACGGCTGTATAGTACAGTAAACCGTTACGAGTAGTGTATCGATCTGATGCAGATCGATACGCGGACGACAATCGTTTCAACGATTCTCGAGATGGTTGGGAGAGATGTGACAACAACTTCACTATCTCACCATCTTGGGCGTATGCCCGCCTCACATCATCATACAACGTTGTAGATGGAACTGAGGACGTCATAACCGCAACAGTGACTGTCTCACTGTTGGGTTTCGCGACTGTTTCAAAGTCGGGACGACGTGAGAGTGCATCAGCGACGACATTAAGTCGTCCTGGTTTGTACTCGACCGTAAAGTTGTATTCTGCAAAGAATGACAACCACCGCGCCATTCGTTGTGAAAGGTGCGGGCTGTTCACTGCCGTGCGTAAGGACGCATGGTCAGTGTAAACAACGAAGGGTCTATCTCCTAATAGATAGACTCTGAACTTCGCGAGTGCATACTTCATGGCAAGGAGTTCCTTGTCATGCACTGGATAGTTCCGCTCAGCTGGTTGCAGCTGACGCGACTGATAGCAGACGACGCGTTCAACGCCTTCAAGATCGTACTGCATTAATGCACAGCCGATTGCGAAATCGCTGGCATCACAGACCACATGAAATGGCCTGTCCTGATCGGCTATTGCTAGGACTGGGGATTGTATCAAGCTCTGCTTGATACCCTCAAAGGAGCGTTGACATTCAGCGTTCCATAACCACCTCTCGTTCTTTTTCAACAAACGAGAGAGGTCCACAGTCATCTCGGCGTAATTGCGTGAATACTTATGCAAATACGCCGCTAGCCCAAGGAATTTTCGAAGACCTTTGACATCGACCGGCACAGGCCAGTCGGTGATCGCCTTGATCTTTTCGGGATCAGGACGTACACCGTTCTTACCAACGATGCACCCAAGAAGTGGTATTTCGCTTGCTGCAAATATACACTTCTTGAGGTTAGCATACAATTGATGCTTTCGCATGATTGTAAGAACCTGTCGGACGTGGTACCTGTGAACCTCAACGTCCGATTTTCCATCCATAGCT